CAGGCTCCTAATCATTCTCCTGCTTGCCTGCCTGATTGCCCCTAACTCAGGGGTGGGCAAACTTTTTGACTCGAGGGCCACAATGGGTTCTTAAACTGGACCGAAGGGCCGGAACAAAAGCATGGATGGAGTGTTTGTGTGAACTAATATAAATTCAAAGTGAACATCATTACATAAAAGGGTACGGTCTTTTTTTTTTTTAGTTTTATTCATTTCAAACCATAGTTTGCCCACAGCTGCCCTAACTGCTTCTGCCTGCCCTAACTGCTTCTGCCTGCCAGCCTGATCACCCCCTAACCGCTTTCCTGCCAGCCTAATTGACGCCTAACATCCCCAACTGCCCTCCCCTGCCAGCCCAATCGCCCCCAACTGCCTTCCCCTGTCGGGCTGAGGGGACTGGGGGACTGAGGCTGGATGAGGCTGGGCTGATGGGACAGGGTGCCACCATCTTGTCAGGGTGTGGCAGTTAATTAGCATATTCCCTCTTTATTAGATAGTTCCCTCTTTATTAGATAGGTTTTTTTTTTGTCTAAAGTTTTACATATGTCTCCTTTTCCCCCAATTGACGCCCCTCCTCAGCCATTCCCACCCCAAGCAAGCCCCCACCGCCCCAGTGTCTGTGTCCATTGGTTATGCTAATATGCATGCATACAAGTCCTTTGGTTGCTCTTTAACCCCCTCTCCCCTACCATTGTCTCTAGATAGATCTACTCTTGTTCATCAAATTATGTTGATCATTATATCCCACATATGAGGGAGATCATGTGATATTTATCTTTCTCTGACTGGCTTATTTTGCTTAGCATAATGTTGATTTTTATAGGAAGAAGAGCGGGCAAGGGAGCTATTCACAAAGAAAACACAGGTCATGTGGGGACACGGACATCTTTTCTTTAGGGAGACGAGAACAGGAGGGATTTTATCATTCAGATTGCCTCTTCTTTCTATGGGGGATGGAGAGCCCATGGAACAGATTGTCTGGCTGGTGGTTGGCCAGAGAGAGTCCAGACTGGTTGATTAAGACTGTTTCTGGGAGAATGGGACAGAGCCCCCTAACTTGGTAAATCTGACGCCATGAGTGCCACTGATCACAGTGATGAGATTTTCCAAAATGATGAACTCCTTTTTTGTTTTTTTGTTGTTGTTTTTTTGTTAATCCTTACCCGAGGATATTCATTGAATTTTAGGAAGAGTGGAAGAGAGAGGGAAAGACAGAGAAACATCAATGTGAGAGAAACACATAGATTGGTTGCATCCTGCACGAGCCCTGACCAGGGCCTGGGCCAGGGAGGAGCTTGCAACCAAGGTACGTGCCCTTGACCGGAATCAAACCCGAGACCCGTTGGTCCACAGGCGGATGCTCTATCCGCTGAGCCAAACCGGCTAGGGCAAAAAATGATGAACAACGCTTGATGAGTTTTGAACAAATAAAAACACATGTTTTCCTCAGTTTACACAGGAATGGTATTCCTGGACAAACTGGTGTGTATCATAACCATGCCAAAGAATTTCAGTTTTGGGGGATCCTTCAAAAGTCATGTATGTTAATAATGTGGACAACTTTCCCAACTCGACACCATACCCAGAAGTAATAACAATAGCAGAGAGGAATTGCTCTTAGTCTTGGACTGTCCCCTGCACTGCACAATGTCTGGCATCATGTCCCTACCCACTAAATGCCAGGAGTGTCCTCTAATCATTATGACAACCCCAAAGCACCCCCAGGTTTCCAGAATGTCATATTCAGAAACACTGAATTCGATGCTTTCTTTGCAAATAACAGAAATAAACCCATATACGCTTAATAGACAAATATTTATTGGCTTTCGTAACTGATTAGTCCAGGGGTACAACTTCAGGGAAGGTTTCACCCAGGGCCACACAGTTTAGCCAGCATCTAATTTTCCCTATTTCTCACCTCCCTCCCCTTTTCTGTACTCTGCTTCCTAAATTTTGGCTCCACCCAGTATTCTCGGCAAAATGTCCTTGAGGCTTCGCTCTGACCAGTCTCCCTCTCTGAACTGACCATGTGGCTGAAAAAAATGGGAAATGCTGACAAGCCCACCTCCGGAACTGGGGGGACATCGCTGCTATGCAAACCCCAGAGCTGACCCCCAGAGGGAAGCAATGTTTTTCTCAAAGGGAACTATGGATGCTGAACAGACAGCAACTATCCACAATTTCTGCAGACAGTGTCTCTGGGAATGGGTCCTGAAACTCAACATTTTAACAAACTTCCCTAGAGTTTCTCTTCATTGTACAACAGCTTTTATGGAGACATCATTTAAATCCCGACAAGGGTTCTAATGTCTCCACACCTTCCAGGGTACTTGTCATTGCCCTCTTTATTATGGCCATCAATTGAGGGTGTGAAGTAAAATTGTTTTGTTTTGTTTTTAAATATATCTTATTGATTTTTTACAGAGAGGAAGGGAGAGGGATAGAGAGTTAGAAACATCAATGAGAAAGAAACATCGATCAGCTGCCTCTTGCACACCCCCTACTGGGGATGTGCCCACAACCAAGGCACATGCCCTTGACTGGAATGGAACCCGGGACTCTTCAGTGCGCAGGCTGACGCTCTATCCACTGAGCCAAACCGGTTAGGGCATAAAATTGTTTTTGTTTTACCGATTGATTGATTGATTGATTTTTAGAGAAAGAGGAAGGGAGAGAAAAAAACAGGGAATTGTTGTTCTGCTTATTCATGCATTCATTGGTTGCTTCTTGTATGTGCCCTGACCAGGGATCAAACCTGCAACCTTGGTGCACCGGGACGATGCTCTAACCAACAGAGCTACCAGGTCAGGGCTAAAAGTGTTGTTTTGATATGCGTTTCCCTAATGACCAGTGATGTCCAACAGTTTGTTCTGTGCTTAATGGCCATTGGTACATCTTCTTGGGAGAAATGTCTGCTCAGATCCTGTGCCCATTTTTAAGGTGGGTTGTTTATCTTTTTATTATTGAGTTGTAGGAGTTCTTTATATATTCTGGATGCAAGTCCCTTATCAGATATGTGAATTGCACATATTTTATCCCATTTTGTGAGTTGTCTTTTCATTTTCTTCAAGCATGGAAGCATTAAAGCTTTTAATTTTGATAAAAATCCAAGATATCCAGCTTCTCTTTAATTACTTGTGCCTTTGGTCTTGTATCTAAGAAGATCCAAAAGTTTGAGAGCCAGAGGCCTTTGAAGACATGCTTTTATTTATTTCCTTTTTTCTTTAATGTATTTAAAATGTTTTATTGGGTCAGGCCCTGGGCCTATAGTGGTGAATAAAACAGACAGGGTTGCTGCCATGGAATTTATGTCTACCACTGGAAGCATACTAAAAACAGATAAATAGAAAAAAAATATGTCATAATGGGCCAGATTTCTATGGAAAAGAACAGAGAGCTCCGAGAGCAGAGGGTGGAGGATCCCTTTCAGATGGGTCAGGGGAGACTTCTCTGAGGTGGCACTGACGCTCAGATGTGAAGGGTCCGAAGGATCCAGCCATGAATATGGGGGAATAATTTTCCTTCTGGAACAGACAGCAAACTTCCTGATTTTGCTTTGACTAGTTTTATTTGGATTGAGAAGATATTTTGTACCAAAGATGTCTCATCATATGTCGATTCCTCATGAGCATTTAGGGTTCACTTGGGCAAAACCTCTCATTATTTTAGTACAGAAGTCTTTTTTGGGGGGGTGGGGGTCCCAAGGGGAATAGCTTATGAAATTGATCTGGGAAAGGAGAATTATTTTATATCTTTCCCTAACTCTTTTGGAAAAAAAAATTCTTGCTCAAATCAATGTTGTTTTTCACACAACTGTCACCTATACAGCGATATATAGTGAAATAGTTACTAAAGTAATTTTTGTTTTCTCTGCATTTGACTGAATATTGTTCATGGCTCAATATTAGCTCTAGAGGAAATAAAAACCAATCTTAAGAGCAATTGAAAAGATGCACTTGTTGGCAGCAATTTCTCTCCTAGAATGAACAGCAAGTTCTGAGCTCTTGAGTGATGGGAAGAAAAACCTTTGTGATAAATAATATATTTGATAATGAGCAGCAGGAGAAACAAATGTTTTCATTTGAAGAGTTCACAATGGAATAAAGTATGGGATGGGCAGTTTTTGCATCATGGGTGGATATGGAGCCCAAAGAGCCATAACTGTAGATTTTCATTCTCACCATGTTAGTTTATGCCATATATTTTCAGACCTTTCTCTAATTCCAATTTTCAAAGGGCTTGGCTCTTGGGTTCTATGGCGCTAGGGGATTTACGTACATTATCTCAATTCATCTTTTAAAGTCTACAGATAGGCAGGCAGGAGTGTGCCTAGATTATTTCCGACAAAGCCGAGGTTCAGAAAGGTTAAATAACTTCCCCCAAGATCCCAAGTCTGCCAGTGTGGGAATCAGTGCAAATGAAAAATTCATAATAACTAGGGATTTCAGAATAAAAGTATAAACTACTCTGGAGAGCAGACTGCTGGGATCCTTCAGCACCTGGCTCGCTGGTGACCTGGACTCAGAGGAGATTCAGCCCCGTTTCTGACCAAATGAAGCACCTGTCCCACAGGAACGGTAAGCCATCCAGTCACTCTCTCCCCACCCCCCATGCGTCCCTGAAGACAAGCGGGGTGCTTGGCAGGTGCTGGATAGTCAATTATTGTTCTAAATGCCGCCTCAGTGGCCTAATAATAACAAGAAAGCAGTCCCCACAGTGCCAGTGTGTAGACAAGGGAATAATCAATGCATTTATCAAAGTAGATGGATTTCTGGGGAATTTGAATCCTGCCCCAGGGAAAGCATTCATTTTCTCTGGAGTTTGAACTTAACTTCCCACCCGATTCTTTGCTGCCCCGTCTCTTGCTCTCTTCTTCCCTCCCTCCCTTCCTTTTAAAGCAGTTTTACTGTTTGCTTGCACTTTGCGTCCTCTGGGTAAGTTTGCTGCATAGAAAGCTCAGGAGAGGGGACATAACCCTTCTAAGGAGGCTCCGTTCTGTCCCGCGACCTGGCAGCGCCAGTCTGTGAGCATCGCGCGTTTGGCTCAGAGAGAGGGGAGAGCAGGCTGGTAAACATCCACCCCGTCACCCCCAGGGGTGTGGGTCCCGTCCGCAGGCTGCGCGGTGGCTCCTGTGCTACTCCGGGCCGGGACAGTGCCTGGCACCAGGCAGACACTCACATGTTGGCCGGATGAATGAAAGGTGAGCAGGGAAGGATGCCAGGAGTCCAGGCGAGGCTGGAGGAGGCGACGGGGCTGCGCGGAGCCTCCCGGAAGAATCCGAAAGTATGAGTGTGATGCCGGGAGAAATGGAGAGGGGACGTCCCGGCAGTGGAAGCGGGACGGAGGGACGGGACCGGGAAGGCCGGGGCCTCGGGGGCTTGCGGGCGCCGAGTGGGGCGAACCGAGAGGTAAGGGCGAGACAAAGAGCCGCCGCCGAGGCCGATCTTGGGAAGAAATGGAAAAGGGGTGGCGGGGGCAGGGCGGACGCGCAGGAAGGGGCGTGAGGACCTGGAGGGGCAGCGCCGGGGGGAGACGGGGGGACGCGGGGGGCGGAGGCGCGGGCGGCGCGAAGTTCCCGGCCTGCGCCCCGCGGGTCCGCGTGCTGGCGGCCGGGCGGGAGGAGCGAGCGGGATCGGGGCTGAAACCCGAATCTCCGGTCCCGCGCGGCCGG